GGACAGGCGCAGTAACATCAGCTGGGAGGACAGGCGCAGTAACATCAGCTGGGAGGACAGGCGCACTAACATCAGCTGGGAGGACAGGCATCCTAACATCAGCATACTTGAAGCAGCTACTAACACCAGTATTGAGGCTGTGACCATACAAAACCACCTCCAAAGGGCCAGCCATGTTCTTAGTAATGCCTGAGTTCTGACTGCCATAGCAAATCGCCTCACCCAGCTGAAGGAAGGTACTTGACTGAGAGGAGGACACAGGAAGACTCCCTGAAAGCTCCCCTCAAATGCACCGTTGATGTCAGCGCCTCAGAGTCCCTCATTCAGAAGAAACTGTCTTGGAGGAATCCCCTGAATAAAGGGACACAATTCTTGGAGAACACCCATTAGCAAGAGGATGTATGGAAAAGAGGTTCATGAAATCATGAGGGGTATGGATAGGGTGAGTAGACAAGGTCTTTTTCCTGGGATGGGGGTGTCCAAAACTAGAGGGCATAGGTTGAAGGTGAAAGGGGAAAGATTTAAAAGGGACCTGAGGGGTAACTTTTTCACGCAGAGTCCTGTGCGTGTATGGAACAAACTGCCAGACAAAGTGGTGGAGGCGGGTATAATTACAACATTTAAAAGGCATCTGGATGGATATATAAATTGAAAGGGTTTAGAGGGATATGGGCCAAATGCTGCTAAATGGGACTAGGTCAGATTGGGATGTCGGCATGGACTACTTTGATGGAAGGGTCTGTTTCTGTGCTGTATGACCCTGTGTCTCTGTAAAAGGAACCGGAGAAAGGAAAACCAGTGATCTCAAGACTAAAACCAGTTCAACCTCCCTGGAAGCACCTGCCAAATGTGTATTCGGAGATACGGCTCTAGGGTTGAGGTCATCAAGCACACAAGGCCTCACAGAACCCATGACCAGTGACATGGAATTTCCTGGATGGACAATCATACTCGTTAGCGAGTGATTCCCAATCATATAGTGGAAAGAGAAATTCTTGTATTTATATACCACCTTTCATGACTTTAGCCATGGAGTACTTTTAAAGTAATCACTGTGCTAACGAAGGAAACCTGAAGTTAATTTGCGCACAGCAAGATCCCACAATCAGAATGAATAATGATTTGATAATGACCGGATAATCTGTTTCATCCCACCTCCTCCTCCTCCCCCACCTCCGGCTATTCTTCAAAGTAGTGCTGTGGTTGATTTTGTGAGGGGTATTTGTTTCAGTGAATCCTGTTTCTGATAAGTCTTACATCACAGGTTCAGTCTGAGTAATAAATGTGTTTTTCTTAGTTACAGACATGCTTCGAATTGCTGCAGGATGATCCCCAGAAGAGGCCTGGTGCCGAGGAGATCCTTCACAGCAAGGATATGGGCCTACTGCCTGAGGAGAGGAGGAGACTGGAAGAAATATTGAATCAAACCCTTTCATCACCCGATAAAGACACGCACAGAGAAACCGTCAAGTTGATTTTTGAACGGATTGTTGGAAAAGTCTCCAAGGATCAAGCATCTGCCTACTATCATGCACTTAGTGAGGTATTCTCATGAACTTAATATGGCAGTATTGCAAAGTGAAGATTTTTTTTAGAATTATCCTCTGTAGGTTATTTGGTCCATCTTGACTGAGTAGGTGCTAACTCTTTATCTACAACAATCTAACTCCCATTTCCCTTTCTTTGCTTGTCGTGCACTTTTGCTTAATCTATGTCAAAGGATGAAAATCTCATTAGAACCCATTAAGATCTTTATGATAGTCAACGCAGGGTGAGCTGTAACCAGTGTGGCCCCTCAGTAAACAGAAAGAATTGGGTGCAAAACCGGTTTGACATAGAATCATAGAATCCCTACAGTATGGAAACAGGCCATTCGGCCCAACAAGTCCACACCACCCCTCCAAAGAGCATCCCACCCAAACTCGTTCCCCTACCCTTATATTTACCATGTCTAACCCACTTAACCTAAATATCCCCAGGCACTATGGGCAATTTAGCATAGCCAATCCACATCTTTGGACAGTGGAAAGAAACTGGAGCACCCAGAGGAAACCCACTCAGACACAGGGAAAATGTGCAAACTCCACACGGACAGTCACCCAAGGGTGGAATCGAACCTGGGTCCCTGGTGCTGTGAGGCAACAGTGCTACCCACTGAGCCAGCGTGCTAACCATCTAACCTGATTTTACTTTTTTTTGGTGTCACTATCACATTGGATGAAAAGCGAGTACAAGAAATAACAAGGTGTAGAGCTGGATGAACACAGCAGGCCAAGCAGCAGGGGTCCAGACCCAAAGAAGGGTCCAGACCCGAAACGTCAGCTTTCCTGCTCCTCTGATGCTGCTTGGCCTGCTGTGTTCATCCAGCTCTACACCTTGTTATCTCAGATTCTCCAGCATCAGCAGTTCCTACTATCCCTGGATAAAAAAACGAGTGTTGTTTCCGAACCTGTGGTTTTCCAGCCTGTCAAATTTGGTTAAAGAAATCCCCCCCCAATCCCCAGTTCCATCCATTGAAATCAACGATAAACCCCAGCTATTGTAAGACTACCCAAGAAAACCCTCAATCTGCATTTTACTTCGCAAAAAAAAATCATCATATTGACAAGAGTTCTATGCAATGGGCAGATTTTTCAAGGGAATGGTGACAGACGTAATTGAAAATGAATTGCAGCTTAAGGGGAATTGCAAACAGAAATATTTGTGCAGGAAAGAATGTGCTTTTTTTTTGTTTCAGATCATGGACCTGACCTTTACCATTTCATCATCCAGGTCATGGCAAAATGTTGAAAGAAAACTTAGACAAATATTTCAGAAGCATGGTATGTGGTCTTAGACAGCTATTGATCCCGTTAAAGGGGCAGTGTTCTCAGGCAAAGTGTTTGGCAAAACTTTTTTGGGAGGGGTGTGGGTATCTTGGGTGGAAGGAGAGGAATGCATGATTGTTAGTAAAAGTGACTTTACATAAAAATCATTCAACATTGCATTCAGTTACAATATATGTTATTACATTGTGTAATGGTTTTGAAGGGAAGGTTTGCCATGCACATAGTCCTGAAGACATTGTGCCTTTGTGTTACAAGTTTGTAGTGGTATGCCTTTTATCCATGCAGAATCAATAATGCGTAAAGACAAAACTCAGTTGATTTTAACAGCTGAATGTGTCAGTTGTTGTTCAGCTTGGATGCTCAGCTCTGAGAAAATACTGGTTGTAATTTTTAAAAAAAAAATGCAGACTGTAAGGATATATTACCAGGATGGTTAAATCCAGAGACAGTTCTGTGTTTTAAGATTCTTTTTTAGAGCTAATTGAAAATACTATGGTCGTTACCCTGGGACCAACAATTTTCAGAGTGGGGAGTCCCTACTGGTCAGAGACTAAACTAGACTTTCTATATGAGTGCTATGGCCAGTATTGAGATGATATTATTAAATTGGAGAGAGGTCAGAAAAGATTTACCTGGATGTCGTCGGGACTGGAGAGCTTGAGCTATAAGGAGAGGCTGGGACTTTTTCACCGGAGCGTAGTAGGTTTATACAGCGGGCATAAATAAGGTGACTAGGGTGGGGAGTTCAAAACTAGGGGGCATATTTTTAAAGTGAGAGAAGAATGAGTTGGAAAGGACACGAGGGGCAACTTTTTCACACACATAGTGGTTTTATGCGTTGAATGAGAGGAAGTGGTAGGTGCAGGTACAGTTACAACATTTAAAAGACATTTGGACAGGTACATGAATAGGGAGGGTTGAGAGGGATATGGGCCAAATGCAGGTAAGTGGGGCTAGTTTAGTTTGGAAATCTTGGTCGGCCTGGACAAGTTGAACTGAAGGGTCTGTTTCCGTGCTGTATGACTCTATATCCAATTTTGCTTCCCTTCCGCAGAGGCTCTTGCCAAAAATCGGCCAAGAGTCAATTTTGCTGAGTTTCACGATGGATTTCTTTCCATGAGCCCTAGCGAGTTTTCTCACCTTACTTTCCTAAACTCGCCCTGCTTGTCATATTCTCCCACTCGCCAGAGGAGTAAGTACTGCTTGCTGCTGTAGCCTCCTGGGATTCCTGGTGGCTGACGCCAACTTTAAAGCCCAGCTGTCCATCCATTAAAGCGTTGTTAGCCGCCAGCTGCCCTGCAGAGTTTGGCCCAGACATGTAGAACAAAGGATAATAGGCACCCTTGCTTTGCTAATGGAGGGCCTGCTGGATGGGGATGTGTCCGTGTTTGCTGCCCGTGAAGTGTACCTTGAAATGTTGCTGGTTGATGGAAGTCTGGAGGAGCAAGCAGTGAGTTGGAGTCACCAGGTTGCATGCTCTGACCTTCATGACAGCAAATATCACTGTTTAGTTTTTATCTAGCAGGTGGGAGATTGGGAAACCGCAGATCAATGAGGTTAGATAATATAATAAGGAGGATAGTAACCTATGCTAATAGGTCTCTCGCTGCTTACCAGCTAGAATCTCATCTCACTGTTCGACACTTGGGAGTTTTTGCTCTTGACAGCAGGAAGCTCCTCGCTGCCGATCTCACACAATTCTGTCAAATTCTCACCAATGTCCACATCGTTTAATGCTTGGGAAGCCTTCCCCTTTGGTTATGGCGTCAGTGTTACTCGAGAAAAGCATAGACCTTAAGGAATGACAAAATTTGCTGTACCCAGCAGGTCTGTCAGTGTCGGTGGAAAGTGAAACAGGATTCATGTTTCTGGGTGGTATGACCTTTCCTCAGCATTGATTGAGGGTATGTCAAAAAATTAACAACGCTTTTGCACTCTGCAGGAACAAATAGTGCCACATGCTGTGCTATCTATCTTAAAAACTAAACCATGATGCACCGGTATGTAACTTGCAGGAAGTCATCTGTGCCAACTTTCTTCCTTCTGAAAAGGAATACGACGAAAGTCAGCTTGTGTGTTCCCCTTCTTGTCTCTTCCTGGGAACTAGCTATCCCAAATACTTAGTGACAAGCTGAAGCATTATTGACTTATTTAGCCCTAATTAGTATTTTCTACTGTGAGCAGTTTTAGTTTGTTGTTGATGCAGTTCGTGTTTTATCTTACTAATGTTTGCAATGCCGATCCAAACTGGGGAAACTGGTCAAGTAAGGCATCTTGTGGTATGGATTTATTCCAAACATCCATGTTGCTATGAGAATTCAAGGCCTATATGACACTCACTTATGAGTGCCTGAATAAGAACATTCCATCAAACCTACCCCATGCTTAGGGGTCTTAAGAATGTGGAAAATTGGAAAGACCATTGGATTCCATGTGGCTAGTCCCAGTGGCCGATAAATATTATATCTTTATGAGGCAGGGAGAGGCAATGGCCTAGTGGTATTATTGCTAGACGATTATTCCAGAGACCCAGATTACTACCTGGGGACCTTGGTTTGAATCCCGCCACGGCACATGCGGGATTTTGAATTCAATAAGTATCTGGAATTAAGAGACAAATGATGACTGTGAATCCATTGTCGATTGTCGGAAAAACCCATCTGGTTCACTAATGTCCTTTAGGGAAGGAAACTGCCATCCTTACCTGGTCTGGCCTACATGCGACTCCAGACCCACAGCAATGTGGTTGGCTCTTAACTGCCCTCTGGGCAATTAGGGATGGGCAATAAATGCTGCCTCGCCAGCGATGCCCTCATCCCATGAATGAATTTAAAAAATCCTTCTGTAAACGTTTACTCCAGGTACTAATCCTATTCTCTCTTCACCTAACTGATAATAATTAGTCTCTTGATGACTCCCTCAGCAATCCTTTCTTCCGTTGCAGAACGTATCAGAATCTGTCTGTTTGCCCACCTGTATAAAACCTGAAGGTTTTACGTCAATGGCTGTGGGCCACTCGGCTAAAGTTTTACAATTGGGAACAATCTGTGGAGCTAATTGCCTTCCTCAGCTGTGCTGTACTGAGCAATGATGATGGCGGTGGACATGAGTGCGAGAAATTACTTTTTCTTCTGTTCTAGGTGCTGTACCTCTGGATATTCCCGAAATTATCCCGTTCAGCGTGGGAACCTCCTGCCGCTGTGATATCACAACAATGCTAAGCAGCGATGGGTACATTTACGAAATGACCCTGGATCATAAGGTATATAGTTGCCAATATGTAGTTTATCATGTGATAATATTGCAAAAAGCGACGTTGCAAGATAGAATATTCTGCATTTGTATAGCGTTTTTCATCACATCGGGTTGTCCCAAAGCACATTTCAGCTTTAAGTATTTTTGAAGTGTAGTCTCCACTATAAGGTAGGAAACATGAAACCACTTTGTCCACAAACAACAGCATACAATGAGCAGATCTTTTAGTGGTGTTGGTTGAGGGAGAAATGTTTGACTGTGGCACTCTGTGCTTGACCTGTTCTTGCACAAAGTAACCAAATAAAAAGGTACGGCACCCTGTTTTGTTACTGTTCTGTTTGATTGTTTACATCTCCCTCTGTTTACAGGTGCCTTTTGTGCGTTTTGTCCACAAAACCAGGATAAGTGAAATGAAAAGGTAAATTGAAGCCACGTGACTGTGTTTTGCAGAAGTACAGGAACATAGGCTGCTGTGTTCCATGGTTATTACTTTGCAACAAAATGATAAACAGAAACAAATTGTTCTGCAAGAAGTTTTTGTTTTGTTCAGTTGCAAAATGCGTGTGATTAGTTAGATTGGTTCCTGTGATGCTGAAAGCTTTTAAAAGCCTTTGTCATTTCCGTCAATTATTGTGAATGTTTCAATCAATGAGAAAATGTTCTCAAAGTGACTGAGGGAACATGTTGCACGCTGTTTTGTGCCAGCTGTCTTCCCTGTGAGAGCCTTACATTTCCTGCCTTCGGTGGGGCCAAGTGTGCATTCTTAGCAATGACACTTAAAAACTCCTGTGACTTTGACCCTTACCTGAGGAGGGCAAGTGAGCAAGGTGGGAATCTGTGTACACGCCGAGAGAGATGTAGGGTTGGCCAAATCGAATGAAAAGCCTTCATCAACGCTGGCTTTGGTGGGGTCCTGTTCAAAACAGCCAGCTGACACCCACGAATGGGAATATAGTGACAACTTCGGTTGTGGGTGAGTTGTTGGAGCTGATTATAAAAGGAAGGTTTTATGGGCATTTAGAGAGGCAGAAATTGATTAGGGATAGTCAGCATGGAATTGTGTGAGGAAAATTGTGCCTCACAAACTTGATTGAGTTTTTTTGAGGAAGTTACCAAAAGGATTGATGATGGCACAGCAAGTTGACGTTGTTTATTTGGATTTTAGTAAAGCCTTTGACATTCCGCATGGTAGACTAATTACTAAAGTCAGGTCACGTGGGATTCAGGATGAGCTTGCCAATTGGATGCATAATTGACTTAATGGCGGGACACAGAGAGTAGGAGAGGAGGGTTGCTATTCAGACTGGAGGCCTGTGACCAGCGGTGTTCCACAGGGATCAGTTCTGGGTCCTGTTTTGTTTGTCATTTATGTAAATGATTTGGATGAGGATATAGAAAGCATGGTTAGTAAGTTTGCGGATGACACCAAAATTGGTGGCACAGTAAACAGTGAAGAAGGATTTCTAGGATTGCAGAGGGATTTTGAACAAATGAGTCTCAATGGGCTGAAAAATGGCAGATGGAGTCCAATCTGGATAAATGAGAGGTGTTGCATTTTGGTACAATAAACAAGGGTAGGGCTTATACAATTAATGGTAGAGCGTTGGGAAGTGTTGTAGAAATCAGGGACTAGGGGTACATGTACATAATTCCTTGAAGTTTGTGTCACATATAGACAGGATGGTTAAAAGGCATTTGGCACGCTTTCCTTCATTGCTCAGTCCTTTGAGTATAGGAGTTGGGAAGTCATGTTGATGTTGTACAGGACATTGGTGAGCCCTCTTCTAGAATACGGTGTCTACTTCTGGTTGCCCAATTATAGGAAGGATATTATCAGCTGAAGAGGGTTCAGAAGAGATTTATTAGGATATTGCCAGGTATGGAAAGTTTGAGTTATAAGGAAAGGCTAGAGCGTGGGAGGTTGAGACGCGACCTAATAGAAGTTTATAAAATAAAGAGAGGCATAGATAGAATTAATGGGAGTTGTCTTTTCCCTAAGATGGGGAATTTCAAGACTAGAGGGCACATTTTTAAGATGAGAGGAGAGAGATTTAAAAAAGACATAAGAGGCAAATTTTTTACACAGAGGGTGGTTCGCGTGTGGAATGAACTTCCTGAAGAAGTGGTGGATACAGGTACAATTACAGCATTTAAAAGACATTTGGATAAGTACATGAATAGGAAAGGTTTGGAGGAATATGGGACAGGAGCAGGCAGGTGGGACCAGTTTAGTTTGGGATTATGTTTGGCATGGACTGGTTGGACTGAAGAGTCTGCTTCCATGCTGTATGACTCTATAAGATGGTGCAGTCAAAGATCTTGGAATATAGGGCAATCTGGGCATAGTTTCAAATCAAGTAGAGGCCAAGGAATAGAGAGTAGCAGGGCTAGCAGACAGCTCTTTGGAGGTCTTGAGGAAGAAACCCTTCCATCTTGCTTGACAGGGAGGTCTAACAGAAGTTATTTTAAACCTTGATCTTGGCCCTGTGTGACCAGTGTGCTTCCCCTGCTGGGCTGGTTTTAGTTAAGTGTTATTTTACATGGAAACGGGTGCCTCATCATTGACCTATTGCAAAACTGGTGGTGGCCAGGAACGTAGTGGGTCAGAGCCAGGAGATAAAGCTTTCAGATTTCGAATCTTCTCACACATGCCTTTCTCACCCAGCAAGAGGAGTTTAAAATTCTGGCTGTAATTCCTAGATCAAGCAGCAGTCTGGTCCTTATTCATTCCTTTATTTTAGCAATAAAAATTGTTGCAGTGAGTGACTGTTAGATGGAAAGTTATTAAATATTTCATATGATAATGCAAGTCGTCTTGAAACCTTGGTTAGGAGAGATAGTCAGGACAGTGCCATGTTCTAAGTGGAATATTTATCATTTGGTCTTAAAGATACTGCATGAAGAAAAGATTCCTTCCAAATGGGCTCCCTTATCAAATACATTGTGCGTTTGACATCGTCAATCTTGAACAGGATTCCATCTTCTCGGTTGCAGAATTGATTGAAGTTGTGTCAGAGATTGTGAAGATATATCCTTCAGCTGGGGTAAGAATGTAATTTGTTTGGATAACAGTCAAATAATCATCGTGATGTATTCAATTAATTGATATTCATTGATATTCAAATTACATTCTTCTTTATTTCACTCTGTACTGCTTCCATAGTTTAGGAGTGTCTTGGATAAATTTCTTAGATTGACAAACCTTCTGCCTGTATTGTAATTATCCACTGTGTCCTCAGTCCACTGTTCATTATCCTCTTCTGCTATTTCCACCTTGCCTGTTCTAATACCGTTAAAACAAATAGATGTCATATATGTGCATCTTTGCATAATGTCTAAAAAGCAAAGCTGAATGCCACCTTCCATTTGCAGGTCACACTTGAGGCAAGGAGCCTTGGCACTACGATGATGCCAAGCCCAATGTGGTAAAGCTCAGTGCTTCTGTGAAAGAAATACTGAAACGTCATTAGTGATTTCAAATGATATTACTGCTGCTGTGATAGTTGTGTGCTGATATCAGTTTTTTGAGTCTAAAGAGGGTGTGAAGCACCACAGCTGTTAAACTCACTCAGCAAACCCTGAAGCTGGAAGATTGGGAATGCTCCACACAATGTCAGCATACCAACACGTTTATTGTACAATTTTGAACAGGGGAATTTCGTACGATCAGTCTGATGGCTTGCACAAAAAAAGACCAAACGAAGTTCACACTAACATATGCGTCAGAAGTATTTAATGTGACCTCAACTCCTGGAAATGTGCTTTCAAGTATAAAGTTGAGCTTTCCTTGTGATGCCTAGTTTGTTATAACATGGATAATGTTTGCACTGTTTGTGGAGCGAGTTTCAGAGATTTGTGGGTGACTAATTAAGCAGCTGGAATGTACTTTTAGACATGTTGACTCCTAACATTTCTGTGGAGTGTAACAAGTGTTTCAAGAATTCAGAAGAAAATGATTGCTAAGAAAAACAGCTTCTATCTGACTGAAGCTGCTGTGATGAAGGGATTCTGCTCAGTGATGTGGAAACTGAAGCTGCATACCAGCCCATTTTAAGCTACAAGAGGCAGCAGTATAAAGCCAAGCCATTAAGCATTAAATCATCAGCAGGAAAATGTAAACTCCACATCCTTTTATGTCTCTTTAGACATGGGAAATACATTTAAAAAAAAACCGTGGCCAGAATCTTAGAGGAGTCTGAGTGACGAGTGCTGTTTTGAGAAGCTGATGAGATGTCTGTTAAGGCTCATTGTCAATGTAATGATCATCTTGCTCCATCTTTTATACTTCTCACAAGTGCCTTGCTGTCCCAAGTCTGTTAGAAGTTTGGCAGTTAGCCAGAGTGAAGGGCTGCCATTACTACTGTTTTAAGGGGTTCTTTAGCGGAGACAGGCTACTTTTGATTTGGGTTTGTGGGGGTGGGGGAAGCATCTTGCAGAATGGCACACTGAAATGGCAATGTAACACCTACTGCATGTGCCAGCTGCCTGCATGGCAAACACCGTGCATTCATTCAACCAGATGGCCATGTCAGAAACTGGCAGGGCATAGTCCTCAGGCCAGTCTGGCAGGGAGGGGTCGGGCAGGCACTGTCGGTCAGGGGCTCCCAGTACCAGGGACACAGGCCAAGCCCAGTCGAGGGGCTTCAACATGGCCTGTCATCTGCTTTAATTTAGATAAATGTGAGGTGCTGCATTTTGTTAGGCCAAATCAGGGCCGGACTTATCCACTTAATGGTAAGGTCCTGGGAAATGTTTCTGAACAAAGAGACTTTGTGATGTAGGTTCATATTTCCTTGAAAGTGGAGCCGCAGGTAGACAGTGTGAGGAAGAAGGCGTTTGGTATGCTTGCCTTTATTGGACAGTGCATTGAGTATAGGAGTTGGGAGGCCATGTTGTGGCTGTACAAGACATTGGTTAGGCCACTTTTGGAATACTGCATTCAATTCTGGTCTCCCTGCTGTGGGATGGATGTTGTGAAACTTGAAAGGGTTCAGAAAAGACTTACAAGGATGTTACCAGGTTTGGAGGGTTTGAGCTATAGGGAGAGGCTGAATACACTGGTGCTATTTTCCTTGGAACATCGGAGGCTGAAGAGTGAGCTTGTAGAGGTTTATCAAATCATGAGAGGAACAGATAAGGTGAATAGACAAGGTCTTTTCCCTGGGTTGGGGGAGTCCAAAACTAGAGGGCATAGGTTTAAGGTGAGAGGGGAAAGATTTAACAGAGACTTAAGGGGCAACTTTTTCGCACAGAGGATGGTGTGGAAGCAATGAGCTGCATTGGAAGGCATGGTAGGCAGAGAGAGAGGTGGATGGGTTATTGACTCTGACCATCACTGTGGCCCCCGCAGGGTGAGCTTGGAGGTGCAAGGTGGCCATCATCATGACACTCAAGGGGGCAGGGTGTACCATTTTTATGACGTTCACCGTGGTAGGTTTCCACCTGGTTGGGAGAGTGATGTAGGGGTGGAAATGGGCTGTTGGGGCAGTGTGAGCTAATAGGGGACATGGACACTTTGAAGGGGACTGGTACCTGGTGACCAGGCTGAGCCCGGTGTTGGTATTGTGGGAGCACAGTTCAACCCTCAGTTGGCTTCATTTCTGTTCCCTTGTCCTTTCTGTCAATAAAAGCTCATGGTCTGTCTTTGCATTTCTCCAGTTGCTTCCCTGTATGTTATGATCCCCTACTGGACAGTGACAAGATGAGGGTCTACAGTGGGCACAGTGTAGCACTGACTTAATCAGATGGAATGTGGCCAGGGACAGGTAAAGTGTGTGGCCTGATGGTTAGGTAGAGACTAGGAGGAGAGAATGGGGTTATGTGTGTGAAGGGGTATCAGCTCTGCCACGAGCAGCATGACTTTGTGGATGCTGTGCTACTACATTGCAGGTGAGGGGCAACAGCTGTTTGCAGACTCTTATCCAGGTGCACAGTGGGGTTTCTAAGATGGTGCAGGCACAAGGAATGCTAGTCTGTGGGTGGATGTCCGCGGGTAGCGAGATGCTGGAATGTCGCATGGTAAGGTGCAGTGGAAATTGGATGTGAGAGGCTACATAGGAGAGGGGTCGGTAACTAATGCAGCGAGTTTATTAAGATCGATTGCGAGAACTTCCTAGGCCTTGCAGTGAAAAACACTTCCAAAGAAAGCTTCATACAGCTCAAACTTAGTTAACAAAACATAAGATGCAGCCCCCACATCTAAATACACACCAATCATAGAGTTATGCAACACTGACTGAGTCCCTTTGGCTCATCATATCTATCCAGTTAATTCACCGATGCATTACACTTCAGACTAAATTGTGCAAAAAGATTTGTATTTAACTTCTATGTATTATTTAATCCACTCTATTAAGAGAAAACAGTAATGCATGTATGACAGTGTTTGTTGGCTGGATTACGAAGAGGTGAATGTTATGTTACTGTGATGTAAAGTTTGGGGTTGGACCCTATTTAGTGGACTCAGTTCTAGGAACTGCACCTCAAGAAGGATGTATTGACCTCAAAGGGGTTCTGTGCAGATTCACCAGAGCGGTTCTGGGGCTAAGAGGTTTTCATATCAAGAAAGGTTGCATAGACCAGGCCATGCATTCCCTTGAGTTTTGAAGATGAATGGAAATGTTTAAGATGATTAGATGAGTTAATATACACAGGAAGAAACTGTTTTCTCATTAGAAGAATGGAGAACAAGGTGCCATGAAATATAAAAGTGAGGCACTTTACCAACAGTTTAGTACTTTACCTGAGACATTCCAAGTGTAAAACTATGCTTTTGTCTTTTGCATTAAGTTACTGTCTCTTTGAAGTATTTGTTACCTCAACAGAAACAATACAAGAACCTGATTATTGGTCACACACTATTAGAAGAAACTCTCTTCATGAATGGATGTCCAGAATGTGGCTCAGAGGATCACTGTTTAAAGGTATTTCTTCATGTTTGGACATCGAATGCGAGTCGTTCGTTAAGCCCCTTGAACTCATTCCACCATTCGATTAGATAATACTCAACCAGTGGCTTGTCTGCATTTAGTCCTTTTGGTCCATATTGTTTGGTAACTTAATTAATATCTGTTGATCCATCTTGAAGATTTCAGTGGACCCAGTGATCACAACTTCCTGTGATGCAATTTCCAGACTTAAAACACCCTTTGTGTGAAAACTTGTTTTCACTGCTGGCTGGCCAAATGCTGATGGTGAGAACTTGCCCTGTTCTTTTAGGTTTTGTTACTGGAATACTTCCCAGTATACCACGGGATGTTTTCCAAGAGTTGGGGCACATCTCAATCTCAGTGTAAATATCTTTAAAACTGTTGGTAGAGTCGAAATAATTGAATGCCTTTGAGAATTCTTATGAACAACCTCCATGGCCTTCACTAATGCCGGTCTAAATCCAGCTGCTGACTGAAATTCCTTTCTCTTTCACCAGCGCTTCATCAGAATGGTTTATGACTATGTACCTGAAACATCAGCCTGTCTCAAGGTTGCAACTGTATCCTGACTTTTTTTTGCCAGTATTCCCTGCTTGTGTGGTTCACCTCACACTTGACAGTGTTAAAGGCTGGAGATAAAATTGACTTCGACCTGTGTGTGGACACACCCCTTTCTCATTGTGGCTATTCCCTTCCTTCAGTCTTGCTTTGTTGGGTTAACGTTCGATGCCGTATCCCAGCAACTGGAAAGATTCTTGCAGCTGAACCCACACTTTAACGAGAGTATCAAGCAGTGCTGGGAATCATTGACAACTTTACGGAAACTCTTTTCGGATTCTGCTTTCACTGTACAGGTGAGACAAAAGAGTATTGCATTAAGATGGATAAATAAAGCTCATTAAATTCATCAAGGGGGTTAATTCTAAAGTGGCCCAGCAAGGTCCTCAATTCTGTCAAACCGCTAGGAACGGTATCTTTAAGGCAACTAAGTTTGGGTAATAAATGATGGCATTGCAATTGATAACTACGTCCCAAAAGTGGTAAAAAGAGTATGGGCTAGTGTACAGCTTTTTGTTTCTTCATGGCTACTCGTTTCAGTTGTAGAACACTAGGAATGCCACACTTTTGCTTAACGCCATGTGCAAAGTTACAAACTGACCAAAAAATGGTCTATTTCAATTGTTTGATGTACCATTTGTTTACCTGGTCACTGACGTGTGGTCACTGTAAATATCATAACAGAAATATACACTGTAACAGAAATATTACCTGTAGTTAGGTAATCAAATGTAATACATAGATCTGGTGGTGAGACTGGATCCTGAGGGTTTTAAAATTGATCTTCCAATTGCATAAAATATTGTAAGTCAGTTTGGGAGACATGCTTTCCTCATAGACTAGGTTTGTACTGTCTTGTTTTTGTGTTCCACCATTGCAGGTAGGATGTGAGTGGAATAGTAGGTACAGAGAGGAGATGTACGAGAACATTCCCAGGGAAAGAGAATTTTAGGGCTAGAGATGGGTGATGAAGTAAGATTGAGTAGTCTGTAGGTTGCTTGCCTTGGAATAGAGGAGATTGAGGCTGATTTAATTGAAATGTATAATACCATGAGGGGCCTGGCCACAATGTATAGGAAGGATCAATTGCCATGAGCAGAGATCTCAATAACTATGAGGTATAGATTAAAATAATTACTAGAAGATTTAGAAAGGAGTTGAGAGCTTTTATTTTCACCCTGATGGATGTTAAGTGTCTGACCAACTGCCTGTTGGATGGTACAGGCACAGACTTGTGACTGTTAAGAACTAATTGCATCAATGTGGGAGTTGGTTAGCTCAGTTGGCTGGATGGTTGGTTTGTGATGCAGACTGATGCCAACTGCACAGGTTCAATGCTGCCACTGGCTGAGGCCACCATGCTTTCTTGACCTTTGCCCTTCTCCACTCTAATGAGGGAACGCCCCTGGGACTGTGGTGACTATATCTAAGATTTGAAGTGCTGTAATCCACAGGAGTATGAACTGAGCTGGACAGTGGAATAGCTGGTTCTTGACTGCCATTTATATGATGGGTTAATGGCCTCCTTTTGTGCCATAATTGTCTTTATTTCTATATTTTTGCTCCTGTGATGAAACTGACTGAGTTGTAGAACAAGCAGAGGTGAAAGGAGAGATTACAGTGGCAAAACTGAGATAAAGTTGCCACCTGGGGGCGGGAAAAAGATTTTAAAATTCGTTCTGCACCTGAAGATAAACACAACCAAAATAGAATTGATCTTTATCAATTGAATTTTATGTGCCTGTTATGTCTGTCAAGCAGAGTTGTCTGTTGGGCTGCATTGTCTGTTAAGGCCAAGGTTCAAGTGCCCTTAGGCTGAGCTGTCGGTGTGAGGTGTCTCCGAGCAGTTGATTAGTTTTCACACTATGTCAAACATAAAATCCTGCTGATTTCCTGAGTCTCCTTTTAATACAGTGAGCAACCCGGAGGAATGTTGGATTGATAAAGGAACAAAATTTCATAACAATTTTGAAGTTAACAGATGAAAGGAAAGGTTGTAGAAGCGTGTACAATTACAACATTTTAAAAGACATTTGGACGGGGCCGGGAGATGTTAAGAGGGATATTGGCCAAACTCAGGCAAATGGGACTAGTTTTGTTTAGGGAACCTGGTCAGCGTGGACGAGTCAGGCTGAAGGGCCTGTTTCCATGCTGTATGACTCCAGGTTGTTAAACCTGATGTTTATCAAACTGGCACCCTGCAATTTGTATAAATATCATGGTCATTTATCTATTGTGAGTTCTGTGCTCCTAGCTCCAGTTTCGCTGTTCTGTTCAGTGAGTACATATCAAACTAAAGTGTGCCCGCTCACATTCCTTTGTGTAGCAGCAGGGATTTTTCTGCTTTCATGTTGTGGTGAAGCTCCAGTTCTCAGGCAAACAGCGCCTCTTATTATTATCTGTCCCCCAGGTTATCTCTCTCTTCATCCAGCTAAAAACCACTGAGAGCTCACCCTGCCCAGCAAAACCTTCATGACATTGTTAACACTGGGAAGTAAACAGATACTTGCTCCTGTGATGCTGCTTGGCCTGCTGTGTTCGTCCAGCTCTACACCTTGTTATCTCATGTAACTACAGGTCACTCCTGCGTGGCTAAAAGACCTTTACCCGACAGGTAATTAAGAGAGAATCACATCACTATGGAGTTCAGTTACTATCCTGAAATAGGAGGTCCTGAATCCAGTAACACTTGGAAATAGAAACCAAAGTGGTCGAATAATCATAAATGTGGCAATTTAGGAGCTTGAGAGCCAGAAAGGTGATTTGAAATCTCCAGAGCACAAAATCTAGGCTGACAGTCCAGTGCACTGCTGATGGGGTGCTGTACTTTTGATGGTGTCACATTTTGGATGAGCTGTTATATCAAGACTGTGCCTGGATGTCAGTTGAATGAAGGAGGCCCTATTTGCCTTTGTCCTTCAAGAGACATCACTACGACAGATTATCCAATTACTACTACATTATTGTTAATGGGATCTTGCTGTGCGCAACTTTGTCACCTGAATTACCACATTACGGTGGTGTCTGCACTTAGAAGTACTCTACTGGCAGCAAAATGGGATTTTGGGATGTCCTGAGGTTGTGAAAGGTTGCTGTGTTAATTTTCAGCTTTCCTTTTCTTAATTTGCGCGAGTGGCACCGACAGATGAAATCTCTAAGACTCATCGAGTTGAAATGCTGCATTCAGACGCTTCCCATCAGCAGATTCCTCCGTTTATTAACTTTCTCCCCTCAGTCCGTTGATCAGCCGTGGCACTGAAACGGAGCTCTGAGTGGGAATTTCAAGCTGCTGCTTCAAATGAAGTTTATTGTGTAGTTTATTGAGCAAATTTGAGCAAGGCCAGCATATTTGAGCGAAGAAAAGAACTTGGAAGAGGTGAAAAGGGCGATTTGGAATTATTCACGGTAAAATGTATCCTTGTTGAGAAGATTGTTTCGGCACTGGAAGCTGTGAGCTAGGAAACCAGCCTAACTGGGAGAAGGTTCATGTTGACAAATACAGCAGAGGGCCTGGCAAACTGCTTTTCTACCACAAAACCTTTGTTGATGGTGTACCAGGTGCCCCATTGGGGCACAGCAGTTCAGCAGAGACCATTGCTCCAAATGTCCTGCTTGGTAGTTTTACCAAAGCTTTTTTTACCAGTAAAGCAAGAAATCGCGAAAATTAAACATGATTTTCTGTCTTCTGTATGGGCACAACTGGGGGGTTGCGAGGAATGGGAAAGGGTAAAGCCAAGTTGGTAAGAAAGTTAGTTTGTGGTTCAAAACAGTGTCAAACATGCTCCAGCTGATGTGAGCTTGGGAACTGCCTCCTTTCCCTGACCCATAATAGAATCACAATCCCTTCAGTAACCCTTAAGGATGCCTTCAGTAGGATGAAAAACTCCGACAGAAGTTTACCTTCCTATTGTACGACACTGTAAGATTGATTTTTTTTTAGGTTTAACCAAGACAGTAATCGTTTTAAATCACATATGCTTTGACTTACAGCTATTTTTCATTAATATTAAATGGGATGAGTTGGGAGATAGTGTGCACTGACTATCTTCCTCTCTTTTCTGGCTTCATACAGGTTGGAAGCTTGCGTGGTACAGAAGAAATAAACTTGAAGCATTACGAAGGAATGCTGTTTGCTTTATACAATACATCCGGATCTGACTTTCTGGTGTTCGGAGGGCAGTATACAAAATTAGTAAGATATTCAAAAACTGTTTGTGGAGAAAGACAGGCTCCTTGATAGTTTGTTTTTATTTTTAAATTAACTTCATGTTCTTTCTTTCATGAAATTGCATTTCCACATTGTAACCAGCCTTCTAGCATTTTCAGTGGCTGATGCTCATGTACTTCCCAATTTAACCAAAACTTAGGCACAAAATATTAAGTAAAAATGGCAACAAATAGTTCATGCATGTATAACTGTGTTCTAAGTGTTCCTCTCACTCTAAGCTGGTAAGGGGAAGTGATATGATGACTTTGAGGGTAATTTGAGGACAGGTTGCATAAACCTGGTTGTATTTCTTAAAGGTTATCATTCCGTTAATATTTTATACTTAATGTCAAATGAGCTGGAATAAAATGGTTCTGGCAGTGTGGGATGGAAAGGGCTAAGTTACCCAACTAAACATCATAGATATATAAAGCTCTGGAAAGACCGCATCTAGAATATAACATACAGTACTGGGTATTGTCCCTGAGGAGGAACAAATGGACCTTAAAAGCATAGATTCCACAAAATGACCATGAAGTTAAATCATAAAGCGAGGGTGCTTTGGCTAGGCTTGTCTTCCTTTGAGTATAAAGACGTAAGGGGATTCTAATTGACATGAGATGATTAAAGGAAGGTAGAGCAGTTGAAGCAGGAATGCTGTTTCCTCAGGAGGGAATAAAGAATGCTGGAATATCGAGCAATAAAATTAGAGCTAGCCCATTTAGGAGAAAAGTCAGGGAGCACTCTATCACACAAAAGGTAGTAGAGAGCAGGAATGTTATCTCTTAAAAGACTGTGGATGTTGGGACAACTGAAAGATTTTAGATCATAAGGAAAGAATACAGTACAAAGGCAGGTAAATAGCTTCGATATGCAGATCACCCATCAGCTACAAAGCTCATGGTGTTGAATGATCTCCTGTTCTTAATATTCCTATAAAATAGGCCAGATCAACAATGTAGAGCATAATTGAAATCGGAGTGTAAATTTTCAGGTCAGACCTGGAATTTTATTTCTCAGCTTCACAAAGCAGAAGATTTTGAAGTCTTACCCTAGCAGTGGAGCTGAACATTTCACTCCACTCACTGCAGTGGCTAACCCAGGCAAGTATTGTAACTGCAATAAAATGTACATGAATAAGTGTCCCAGGCAACTGACATTCAAATGGATACTTGCTACCTTCTGTGCCTCTGCCTTGTTTGCTTTTCTTTTATTAAGGCCTGTTAGAGGCTTGAGACCAATGATTGACAGACAACTTGCAAGGATAAGAGACCTTGAGATCAGAAGTTATGTGGAGATATTCTTGGGCGCTTTATATTAAAACCAGAAAACTCAGGAGGAGGTCTGACATAATGTTTATAATTTTAAAAAGAACACATAAAACAGAGGACAATTTCTGCTGGTTGTTGCGTTAGTGACAAGAAAGCATAAATTAACAAAAGGAACTAAGAGTTTGGGAGAATCAGTTTTAATGTACAGGGCCCTTGGAACATGGGATAAACTGGTAAGAACAAAATCCAGAATAACTTAAAAAGGTAGGCAAGTAAACGTTCAAATAAGCAAAGGAGTGTTGCAGGAGTATGGAGGAAGGACAGGAGAGTGGAGTGACGCAGATAGCTCAATGAGGGCCAGCTTGACAGCCAGACTGACAACAGTAGAATTGGAATGACCTAATAAAGAGAAGTGAGTCTATGCTTTTTCAGGTAAGTAGAGACCCAAGAGTAACTTGTGGATCCATGGAGAAATTTGTGATTGATTTTCTTCATTGTGGACCTCCGCCAGATCCCATGGAAGCTCAGCCACTTAAGATTAGTCCTGAACCATTTCTTCTCTCTATTTTGAAGTCGAGCATTTCCCAGCTCTGCCGATGTTTGTTTTCCAATGGGTTCCCACATTTTCAGTGAGTTAATTTTCTTCTTAGATGCTTGGGAAACATTGAAGTATCATTGTTACTGCTGTGAATATTCACTGATGCACACGCTGCCGCTGATAAAATTTAATTCCTTCGTTGCCCAGTCGAATGGGTGATATTTGAAAACTAATTATTGAAGAATTGTGCAAATCTTCTGTTTTTAACAAAAAGGAGTAATGTTGAGATCCTGTTGCTCCCACCATGCTTCAGAAGGCAGAGTGGGCTTGATTAGGGAAAGAGAAACAGGAGTAGGCCTTTCAGCCCCTTGAACATGTCTGCTATATTTGTTAACTCCATTTGGCTATCTTTGTTCCTTCCCAAAATTCTATTAATCACAGTTTTGACTTCCACCATTCCACTAACCCTATCACAGCATTGTTAGGAAGGGAGAGTGTCTCCGGTTTCCACTGTCTTTTGCGTTAAGGACTATTTATAGATATCTTCCTTGCATAGCCTGTCTCTAATTATAAAGATTATAGTCCCTTGATCAGGACATTCCCTTCAGCACAAATATTTTCTCTGCAGCTACCCTATTAATTCCTTTAATCATCTTAAACATCAATACCTCTCAAGAAGTTTGATACACTCCAGGACAGAGCAGGCCACTTGTTCAGCACACCATTCTCTGCTTTATATCATCAATCCCTCCACAACTGACACCGAGTGCCGATGGTGTGTACTATGCATGAGGTGCACTGCAGCAATTCACCACAACACCTTTGTCAGCACCTTCCAAACCTGTTACTTCCACTAGCTGAATTACAAGGGGAGCAGACACATGAGAACGCCGCATACAAGTTCCTCATCAAGCCACAGATTGTCCTGATGTACAACTATCTCACCGTTCCTTCACTGTCACTGGGTCAATATTCCGGAACTCCTCTGTGAGCACAGCCGGGTGAGTCCGGGTGGGATGCCCTTTGGAGGGTCGGTGCAGACTCGATGAGCCGAATGGCCTCTTTCCACACTTCGATGATCCTATAATTCCTCTCCGAACACATGGTGGGTGTGTGTGCACCACTTCTGAGGTTACTGCAGGAGACTAAACAGGACGGGCAGTTAATGTGAGTCTTGCCAGTAACCCTGACATCCCAAAAAGCAATGAAACAAAATACACAATGTATTGGGAAAGTGTTAAAGCGGCTGTTTGTAATAGTCAATGTGGATCAAAATAAGTATTTGTCATTTATGGAGAATTGAAGGAATATGCTGATTTCTCTTACCATGTATAAAAGATGATTCCTTGATCAAGAATTTCACAGATTAATTTATTTGTCTGTTATGATGCTTAGCTGCGAAGTTTTGATGTCTCTTTTGGCAAGTTGCCTGATTTGTCCGCTGCTGGCCTAAACATTGACCTTCAGAAACTCGTAGAAGCAGAGACAAAGACAAAGGTAACAAACAGACAAGAGACAGCAATCCCCAAACCCCTGAACACGTAGAAAATGTCTGAAAATGGGGGGAAAAAATGTCTCTTTTTTTGGGGAGATCTTTCTATGAATGATGAGTTAGTCCTAAATCCCGATTTAACATTCCGAGTCACTGATTTACTTTCAGGTTTCTAATGACCAGGTGAGGGGGGTGGGTAAACTGGTTTTCCTCCTTTTTCTTACTCCTTACTTGACCACAACCAGTTTTGAAATATTTAATATCAAAAAATATTTAATACTGTATTGCCAATTCAGTGTGATTTCACTATATCTGGATTTGTGTAACAAAATCAGCCAGACCAGTTTCTTGAGTTAAATAGATTTTGGTTAATTGCTAAAACTCGCTCAGTTAAAAAATGCTAAAAATGTACAAATGTATCCTACCTCCCTCAAATGCATGCTTAAAAGAAACATAATTTACAGGGTATTGAATGTTAATCTTAGCCAAGTAAGATTCGGGTAAAAAGGTAAAGTCGATAAAGATTCACTGATTGCATCTGAATATTTTGGGTTTCTCCAAGGCAGTTGCTTTTCAGTCATGGCTGAGTTTTTATTTTCTGCCGGAATTTCTGTTGCAGAAAATCCAACAGAATTTAGTAGAAATTCTCTGCCTGTTGTATGAATGTCGATGCTTGTTCCCAGCCAAAGAGGATTCTTAGATGGAATATTAAAGAAAAGGGTTGTGGGAAAGCAACTGCCCTGCTGTAGCGTTTATCAATCCCTTTCTGCAAGCTCAAATACAATATTCAAATATACAAAGAGCAGCTCATTATATCTCACTGGCTTCATCAATAGCACTTCAAAGAAATTAGTTGTGAATTGCAGAAGAAAGCTGGTTTAGCCCATGTCTTTAGCTTTTGTCCTTTTGAGTTAAGGTGATTAATCCTTAATGCCCCCCAATCCATCCTCTGTTTGTTGAGCTATGAAGGAGCTGTTCACATCTCCAGGTGACTTTGTCTCTGTGGAGGCCTCCATAGACTTTGTATCTTCCAGGGTTGAATGTGCTTTCATAGGTGCAAATCTGTTTTGGCCATCTTAAATTGTTGTCAATGTTCTTTTGCTTCGGTTCATAACTGCATCTTTATAAAGTCCAATGTATGAAACCTGCTGATGAAATGGCAATCATTAGAATCATAGAATCCCTACAGTGTGGAAACAGGCCCTTCGGCCCAACAAGTCCACACCGACCCTTGGAGCATCCCACCCAGACCCATCCCCCTATAACCCACCTAATCTATGCATCCCTGAACACTACGGGCAATTTAGCATGGCCAATCCACCTAGCCTGCACATCTTTGGACCGTGGGAGGAAACCGGAGCACCCGGAGGAAACCCACGCAGTCGCAGGGAGAATGTGCAAACTCCACACAGACAGTCGCCCGAGGCTGGAATCGAACCCGGGACCCTGGCGCTGTGAGGCAGCAGTGCTAACCACAGCCACAGTGCCACCCCATGTAATATTTGAAATTGTAGAATTCATAATGTAAGTGTACTTTTCTTCATTTTCTTTTGCTTTAATGTTGCATCTGAAGACTAAACCTTAACCTGATTGTCCAAGATTTCTGTGGCTTATTAATGAGGTATTACAGTTAGTAGTGTTGACCTTGGCTACAATTCTAGACATATTACAAGTCAATAGCTGTTTAACCCCTGATTTCTTTTGCTATGGAAAGTGCCAAAAAGAGTTGCATATTTATTGCTGAGGTACAATTAAGCATTTTTTCATGTTATACATAGAAACCTGAAAAGATGATGGATAAAATCTGTATTCGTTGCACTCCTGACACAAGTGTGGAAGTCTGTTTTAATTTGGCACGCAAGTTTTGGGAAGCAGGGATATGCGTCAGATTGATGACCAAACTTCCTGAGGTAATATGTGAAAATCACTTGACATTCTGAACACAGAGAATGAACAGTGTCTGATAAAGAGATCCATTGCATTGTAAATCATAAAACTATTTCTGATTTTTTTTAGTATCATGATTCATTTATTGTCATGTGTACCAAAGTACAGTGAAAAGCTTTGTTTATGAGCAGTACAGACGGATCATAGTAAGCAAGGATGTACAGATCGGAGGTTGTCAAAAGCCTTAGACAAAACCTTAGGCGAGATTGACATTAGCAAGATCAGCATTATCTGAGGCTGGAGAGTCCATTCATCAGCCTAATAATGGCCAGTAAGAAGCTGTTCTTGAACCTGCTGGTGCGTGTGTTCTGCCTGATGGAAGAGGCTGTAGGAGGTCATTACCAGGGTGCGATGGGTCTTTGATGTTGGCAGCCTTTCTGCGGCAGCGAGCCGTGTAAATAGAGTCCACTGATGGAAGGTTGACTTCCGTGATGGTCTGGGCTGTGCACACCACCTTCTGTAGTTTCTTACGGTCCTTGGCAGAGCCGTTGCCATACCAGGCCATTATGCTCCCAGACAGTATGGTTTCAGTGGTACATCTGTAGAAGATGGTGAGGGACCTTACGGACATGCCAAATTTCCTGAGCCGCCTGAGGAAGAAGAGGTGTTGCTGTGACTTCTTGACCATTACATCTATATGGGAAGTCCAGGACAGGTCGTCAGTTATCGTCACTCCGAGGAACTTGATGCTTTTCACCTTCTCGACCTCAGTTCCATTGATGTAGATAATGTAGATCTGTTTAAATGATATGGCAGAGGACATCAGATTCTCAACGCCTTCGACTATTATTCAAAGTCTCTCATGCTGCACAGGCTCAGTACTATTCATAGAAAATGTACTCTGATTGCAAATGCAAGGGGGTGGGGGATTCATTATTTCTCTCTAAATGCAAAGGGAGAACATTCATCCGATTATTTCCTTCTTGCCATTTCACTTGTGCAGTCCAAAGCCAAAACCTATCGTCACTGTCCAGCATCTTCCTCCAGTTCAAATGCTTGTATGATTTTTCTTTAGAATTTACAACTATTTTTTTCTTAACTGCTTCCTATGGCAAAGTAGTCCATATAACTCTACATAAAGACTTTCCTTCCAACCTCCAGCTCAGTCTCTTACTATTTTAAATTTTTAACTCCTTTTTGTTATACACTAGAAAATAACTGTGTTTAAACAGATTCCAAGTCCACACTTTTACTAAGAGTTTTATTTTTGTTAATCACACTCTACAAAACTCGCCACTACTATTTACTAGCTCCCTTTCGTTATACAGCAAGTTTACACTGGATGAATAAAAGCAAACTATGGCAGATGCTGGAACTCTGAAACAAAAACATAAAGTGCTGGAGAAACTCAACAGGACTGGCAGCATCAGTGGAGAAAGAAACAGTTAATGTTTTGAGTGCTATATGACTTTTCAAGACGAGTCAGACCAGGGCTGGAATATAGTGAACAGTTTTGGTCTGCTACATAAAGAAAAAACAAATATACTGGCGATGGAGGCAGTTCAGAGAGGGTTCACTAGGTCGATCCCAGGTATGGAAGGATTTTCTGATGAGGAGAGATTGAGTTGGTTTGGTTTGTACTCAGTGGATTCAGAAGAAATGAGTGTGACCTTATTGAAACACACTAGATTGTTAGAGGACTTGACAGGCTAACTGTAGAGAGGTTGTTCCCCCTTCTAGGAGAGTCTAGGACCAGAGAGTATCACCTCAGAGTAGGGAGTCACCCACTTAAGGCAGAGATGGGGAGTAATTCTTTTCTCTGAGGTAGGGGGTAAATCTGTGGAATTCTTTACCACAGAGGGCTGTTGAGGATGTGACATCAAGTAAATTCAAGGCAGATTTTTTAATCAGTTAGGGGGAATCGAACGTTATGGGATAAGGCTGGAAAGTGGAGTTGAGGTTATCAGATCACCAATGAAATCATTGAATGGCAGAGTGGACTCGATGGGTCGAGTGGCCTACTTCTGCTCTACATCTTGTGGTCTTCTGTTAGAAGCTGAGTGGTGCCTAACTCTGTGTGCAGTCAGTGGGGACTGCTATCTGTCAGGTGGTTCTGGTACCATCAGTCACAGCACACACTTCAGACAGTCCAGCGACGTGAGAGGGTGGTCACTAGAGGGGGTGGCCGGTGTCAGGGGGTTAGTGGGCTCGAGGGGAAGCACTCCAGAATGATGTGGCACACTGTTGGACAATACTAGAGGGCCCCCAGAGACCAGTCCGTGAAACAGAAACTGATCTTCAACAGCCCTATCGACTGCTCCATCACTGCCTGATCAAAGCATGGACAACATTGTTAACTGCATTAATGACCACTGTAACTGCACTGCGCATCCGTTCGTGAGTCAGGGTCACAGAGGGTAGCCCTGTCCCCCACTAACAGCCTGGTAAGGTACCTGGACCCTTAAACACTGCAGGCACACAAGACTGCTCCAGGATGTAGGAGTTCTGGTAGCTTCCAGGGTTGTGAGCACACATTTCCAGGTAGTAGTAATGGTGATGACTGCATTACTTTGACATTCTAGCTGATTGACTTACAGTTATACTGCTTGGTTGGTTTCACATCAACTGTGCAAAAGATCAAATAGTCTGTGTAGAAACGAGGTAGGTCTAGGGCAAATAATCCATGTCTGCGGTCTGGTCAGTCACAGAGCACTCCAGACAGAGGAAATGAAACAAATTGGAAACTTAGACTTCTGATATGAGGAACATGGATGTACTTTTCAGGACTTCCTCAGATTCCTGAAGCTCATTCATACAGAACTTGAGGCAGTGGCCTGTTCCCATATTGAAAGATCTGGGCCATTATTTTTAATTATATTCTAGGTACCATCGAGCTAAATTGAGTGTCTAGCTTTGTCACTTACACCTTTATCCAATCTGATTGATATATATTAACCTTAATCCATTAGTGTTGGTTGACCAACATTCAATCCTTCCTCCTAGTTTCTGTTCAGGCCTTTGTGAAGAGGCTCCTCTGAGGCACCTCATCCATCTATCGTAAATAAAACTTGATCCGTATATAAAGTAAATAATTGACTAATAAAGCTAAATTCTCTATGTGAGATAAAACAGGCAGCACAAAGTAAAAAAAAACAAAACAACCTCTTGATCAGTATATACCACTAGGTGACAGTGTTTAGTCAGCAGATAAACCACTGGTTTTCCCATTACACTGAAGATGCCCCCAGCACTCTCTAGCTCGGCCACTAATTCGTGGAAACATGATCATTTTAATCCTCTGTGGCCAATTTATCTCTGTGCCCAACGAAGATGAAATGGGAATTCTCCATTGCAGTTTTTTGTATGTAATAATGGCCATATATTTGTGCACTAAATATTGAATCATTACAAAATTATTTTGTTTAAGCCATCCTTTGGATCAAACAAACTGATCTTGATGAGCTCAGCTATCGGTTCATCAGTATTTCTGTCTATGCTGCACTCTGAGGCCTGTCACTTTACAGCTTGACCTTTTTGGAGTCCAAGAATGTGTTGTGAGGACTTTTATAATGTGCTGTATACAGACTTTAATAGGACAGGAAAAAAAGACCACCCCCCCACCCCGAGTTAGTTTATTGGTAAAGCTTCCGTCAGTTTGGTTCCCAAGTATGTGATTTCCTCTAAAGTCATTCAAGCAGGCATTCTGAATGATGCACCTGTCAAATCTGCTGCCACACACTGTTTCCAATTGAAGTTCCAGAAGTTTCATCAATATCTTCCTGTCAGGATCTCCATTTTCACCAGATTTTATTTAGGAATTTAACAAGAAGAATGAAAAGGGCATTGACTTGTACCATTATGTCTGTTCCTCTCTCCAAAAATGGGGAGTTGATGGCCTGGTGGTATTATTGCTATAGACTATTAATTCAAAAACTTGACTAATGTTCTGGGGACCCGGGTTTGAATCCTGACGTTGCAGATGGTGGAATTTGAACTCAAGTTTAAAAAATATCAGGAATTAAGAATCTACTGATGACCACGCAACCACTGTCGATTTGTCAGAAAAATACCCGTCTGGCTCACTCATGTCCTTCAGGGAAGAAAATCTGCCATCCTCACCTGGTCTGGCCTACATGTGACTCCAGGCCCGCGGCAATATGGTTGACTTAAAACTACCCTCTGAAATTGCCTAGCAAGTCACTCAGTTCAACAGCAGCTGGGGACAGGCAATAAATACTTGCCATCTAGTGACACCCAAGACCCACAAGTGAATTTTAAAAACAAGATGCTGCCAGACTATTTTTTTTTCTGTTTTTACTCAGGAAGGTATTACTTTACACCTTTATGTTTTGTTTTTGGAGGGAAGGTCATGTACTCTGTGGGTTCATAACAGAGAAGGGAGATGCAGCGATGGAGAATAGTTGATGTAGGAAAATTGGAAGGGGACAGTAAAAGGATTTTTTTTTCGCAAAGGATGTTACAATCGTCATGATAGCCTTTGCTGTTCCAACAGTTTGAGTCATTGCCTAAAAAATGTGGCAAATTCCAACACAATTACCTTGACAAGTTACTGACTTAGCACAAATGCACATAAATGACCATAATTAGAACATACCGTAGGATGGGGTAAAATTTGTTATTAAAGGCAGCATTTTTTTGGAACAAGTATCATCACATTATTTGGGGAGATGTGCACTAATATCAGCTCAAGTTTTAAAAACCTGTCCTTGCGTTTTACTTTTTAGAAAAAACTTGCAGCTGAAAGTCTTGAAAAGGGAAGGATATTTGTTCTCCAGCCAAAGGGTGAAACAGATTTAAAGGTAAGCATTGTACTCCCAGTGAAGCTATTTAATAAGTGCAATTAATTTGAAAAGGTGTAAGTCAACTGCCTTCTTTCATCAAGCAATCCTCTGGGTGTAGAGACGCCCCTGCGTGCTGCTGGAAGGGAGGTGCAGGATTTTGACCCCACAGTAGTGAAGGAGCAGTGAGATGGTTCCAATTCAGGATGGTGTGTGGGTTAGTTGTAGGTACAGCTACTGTCCAGGTACTTGCTGCTTGCATGTGTAGGTAGTAAGAGATCGCAGGTTCGGAAGATGCTGCCGAAAGAACGTGCATGAATTGCTGCAGTGCATTCTGTAGCTGCCACTGTGCATTCACTGGTGAAGGGACTGAATATTGAATGTGGTGGATGGGTGCCACTGATGCACGATGCTTTTTCCTGGATGGTTCTGCTTCTTGAGTGTTGTTGGAGCTGCACCCTTCCAAGCAAGTGGGGAGTATTTCATCACACAGCTGACTTGTTCCTTGTAGATGATGGACAGGAACTGGGGAGTCAGGAGCTGAGTTACTCACTACAGAATTGCTAATCTCTGCTTCTCCTACAGAAGCCACAGTATTTATGCAGCTGGTCCAGGTCAGTTTTCTGGTCGATGGGAGTTTCCAGGATGTTGAAAGTGGGAGAATTCAGCCTTTGAGCATCAAGGGGAAATGGATATGTTCTCCCTTGTTTTTAGAAATGGCCATTGCCTACCATTTGTGTGGTGCAATTCTTACTTGCCATTTAGGTACCAAGCTTGGATGTTGTCCCGGTCTTGCTGCATGTGGACATGGGCTCTTCTGTACCTGAGGAGTCATGAATGGTTTTGAAGATTATGCACACCATCCATTTCTGATCTTGTAATGGATGGAAGGTCTTGAGGAAGTAGCTGTTGATGGTTGGACAAAGATCACTACTCTGAGAAACCCCTGCAAAGATACTGAGATGATTGGCCTGCAGAAACCAAAACTATAATTCTTTGTGCTAGGTATGACTCCACACAGCAGGGAGATTGTCCTCTGATTCCCACTGACGAGAGTTTTGCTGGATTTCCTTAATGCCACACTCAGTCAAGTGCTGCCTTGCTGTCAAGGGCTATCACTCTCACATCACCTCTGGAATTCAACTCTTTTTTGTCCATGTTTGGACTAAGTTTGTAATGAGATCAGGAGCTGAGTGGCCCTGGCAGAATCCAAACTGAGCAGCAGTGTACAGATTGTTGTTCAGCAAGCACTGTTGATGACCCTTTCCATCAGTTTCCAGATGATTAAGAGTGGACTGATAGGACGGTATTCAGCTGGGTTGCATTTTGTCTTTTTTTTTAAATTCCAAAAATATACTTTATTCATAAAAAAAGTCTTTGTATATATACATTATCACCAAACTAGTTTGGTTCTGTACAGTTGCATATCAAGTAAATAAACAAAACATTGGACTTTGACTCTATCCAAAAAAACCAAAGACCTCTCTTCCACAGACAATACTAATATTTGCATATATTTGAGGCACTAAGAGGGTCTGAAAACTGAACGGACCACAATTTACCTTCAGCAGGAAGACCTCAGACTGTGGTCTTTCCCCATTGCGCCGATGTCCTTCTGGATCTATTGATTGTAGATCACTTAACACTGTCTATTGCATGTTACTTCCATTGTTTGGCATAAGTTAAACACCTTGTTATAAGTTATACCTAGTGTGATCCTGGCATGCCCTCCTGCTCCCTTCGTTTAACCAGGGTTGGTCCCACGGCTTAGTGGTAATGATGGAGTTGTGGATATATAGCAGCGTGGGAGTGCAGATTGTGGTTGAATACAGTTACAGGGGTAGAGTAGCAATATGGGTAAGATTGCAGCTCCGCAGAAGACCCCCCCCCCCCCCCCACCCCCCGGCCTTTTAACCCTGTTCCTCTTTTCACAAATGCTGTTTGAGCTGTTGAATATTTCCAGCAGTTTTTGTTTTCATTTCAGATTTACAGTATCCATAGCATCTTGCTTTTGTGTGGATAGATTTTTGTTAATTAAGGTTTCCAACAGTTACAGAACAAAGGCAAGGAGTTGGAATGAACTAAGTGCTGCAAATAAATGGCTAAACAGGCTTGAAGGGGTGAATGACCTCTCCTTATTCCTGTATTCCTCCCTTCATTCTGGCCCTTCTGACTATTAAATATAGATGTAAAATTGAATATAGATAATTCAAAAATGTGACCTTCCCCAAAACTGCTTCAGAGTGGAGGTTTTGTTAGGTAGTCAGTGATTGAGGAGATTTAGTTTAAGGTATCGAGCTCGAAGAGAAAGCCAGTTGTTGTGTGTTGGTTCCTACAAAGTTTCACATTATTCTGCAGTACAAACTGCCTGTGCATACAGCTCACTAAATATTAACAGGTAAAGTACAGACATTTTCCAGTCATTAGCACATAAAGTACACAGTGTGACAATCACCTTGCAGGGTGTAGAGGCAACTTTATCGAAATATTCAAAGCACAGAACAGCACAGTTTCTCAATTGGCAAAGGTGCAATGCAGGAAACATATAGTTAAAATTGAGACATGGAGACAACCCTTAGGCATGGATTCCACATTGATTGGGAACTAGGATGTAGAGAATTGGCATAAAGGAGGTACTTTTGGATTAATAGGTTGTGAAAAATGTCAAAGGCTGCAAATTTTCTATACATGTCAGTGATTTGGACCAGTGATCTGGACTTGGAAAGCTGATGCAAGTTAAGTCAACTGAAGTGTGAAGAAAATCACAGAATGCTCCAAAAGAATATACTGCATATTAAGCACATGTATAGATATATTGAAGATGGAAAAAAAAAGTGTTTTTTGAATGCATTAGTCTTTTATGGTGGGTGTGTAGGTGCACCCAAATAAGGAAAAGGGTAAATGCAGCATTAGCCTTCCGAGTTTAACTCCAAGTATAGGATACCCGACCAGGGGAAGGGCATATGGGCCAATGAATCAGCGGGTAATACTTGAGGTGAATGATGAGATACTGGATAAAATTGGGCTAAATAATTTGAGTTGAGAAGGTTAAAAGGTGGTCTGATGGTTGGGTTTAAAATAGAAAAGGGAACTGCTGAACTCATAGTGGAGAACATTTCCATTTTATAATGGGAGAACACCTTAAAATGAAAGCTAAACCAATTTGGAGAGTGAAAATAAACAACAGAAGGCTGTGAGAATGTATATCAAACTGCCCAAGAGGTTTTCTAAGTGAAATCAACCAAGATAGCTCAAAGTCAGAGAGATAATTACATGGGAATAAAACTTGTTAAAGGATAATAGGTTTGCACAACATAGTGGGCTGAAGGGCCTGTAGTGTGCTGTACTGTCCTATGTTCTATGTTCTGTTTGGAGATTGGATGAGGACTGTGCATTCAAGAGGTGAAACTGTCATGACTAACAAAGTTGATGGACCAAATAACTTTGTTGCTTCTATGTCCTTAGCCTTTGAATTCCATAATGATAGTTTTCACCTTGCACCTAAACTGTAACCCCAAGTGCATTTGATCCCAGCTGATGGATTATGTGTTTGACAGCTGGGATAGACATAATGTATTAAAGTGCAAAGAATTCTTGGCATTAATATTGTAGCTTGATATTAGCTACATTCATGGTGCTGTCAGATGGCAGGCTGGGTACTGTGGGATAACAGGGGACGTGCCCCAACAGGCCAATATAGTCTTTGTTGCGTCTCAAATTATAGTGAGCACTCCGTTGATCGAGAATGTTCAGGAGGTAAGTGCTTTTAAAGATCACGCTTTTTACAGCTAAACCTACACGTGGGAATGTGGGGCCGCTGCCCACACTCAGCCAAGGTTTTGCATGATCCAAGATGTCTGGTTATCTTGGCAGCTGCAGAGGATGACTAGCGCAGAGTGTTTCTCCGCTTTTGCTGCAGTCCATGGAGGGTTGCTAATCATGACTTTATTTCCTGATTTCTCTGTCGGGAAGGGGAGGAGGTAGGCTGCACGGAGTATTTCAGCCAGTAAAATGATTGAATCCTCCTGTTGGCATTATCTGCACCTACATGTCATAGAAATACATTTATATGTGCTTTCAGCATTGCTTAATCTATTTGTCGTTGACTTTTTCAGTGTAAGGTAACTGACGATTAGGATTTACACCAAATGAATATACTTCAGGCATAGCTGCCTTGACGTACAGTCATGCTGAAGGTACTTTTGTAACTAGAAAGACACAGTTAACAGATATCTTTTACCTTGTTGCTTGGACTGTAAGACATTTTATAAGGCATGAAGTTAAAATCTGCACAGCACTGAGGTATTATTTATGAAGTTTAATCTATTTTAAGCAATTAGTACTTTGAAAGGATAATGATGAATTATTGGCTGTGTACAAGAGGATTAGGATAAAACATGACAGATAAAGGAGGAGAGTGGAATTCCAGATACAAAATCAAAAACAGGTGCAAATCTTGGAAATTTGGAATAAAAACTGAAAACATTGACAGCTTCAAATACAGAAGAAACAAAAACACACACACACAGCTTTTTGCTTTACCATTTTACAACAATAATAAGTGTTCACATTGAGATCATATGCCCCTATTACATGTCTCTGTTAATCATTTTTAATTACTCATAAAAAAATGCGGTTAGCTACATTTGGATTCCCATGGAGCTACACATGGTTTGTGGCGAACACATTGTAGAATACTGGATTTGGAGAAATAGGGTGGTGAGGTGCAGATGGTCACGTAGTTCAGATAAACTGGAGGAATGACATTCTTTATGTTGACTGACAACAGAACAAGTCAGGTAAGTGCTTTGTTTGCTTTAGAGGTTTGAATTCTGGCACAAAGCTAGATCAGGACAATGTAAAACGATTGGCCTGTCACTTGGAAGGCTGAACCAGCCACCATACAACATGGTGACTCAACATGGGTGACCAAATAGGGGTGTGATAGGCGTTGAGACTATACCCTATGATACCCACTTTACATATAGAACGTTTGGTTACCACCCCTTGCATTGATTTGTAATCCCTTTCATTTCAGTTTTGTGTTGTGTAAGTAAATTAGCTTGAAACTAGTGTCTGTAGTCAATTGTGATACTTTTTATGGCGTGCTTTCTACTTTGGCATTGAATTATTTAGTATTACAGGGGGTCCTAAGTTTATGAACTTATGAATGCTCATACTTCCAAATGCAGTCTCATTCAGGGGTGTAATTTTAAAAACCTGGTGCATGAATATTTGCTGTACTCATGAGTGACTCCTTTTATATTGTCTTGCATTGTTTTCATGATGGAATGGAACCTGTTCACAACCCAGGTACTGCTTTTTACTTAAAACTCAAATGTGTCTGCAAATAGTGCTTTACTGAACACTGCGCGTAGTTGTGTCATCACCTAATTTAATATTATTTTCTAGGTCAATGTCTCTCTAAAACACTCTCTTTTCACTTGTTGGTTTGTAGAATACCATTTACTCGAGGTAATCAGAGAGGCTGACAGGTGTAAATCATAAACATTGTCAAAAAGGCTGGAAATTCACAGAAAAGAGAAAGTTAATGTTTCAAGTGGGACCCTCGATCAAAATGAGGGTCAGATCTTTTCCTGTTCTGTCATGACAGTTTTGATGTGAAGAAATAGATTATGTGTGATCTTGTAGAAGTAGCCATTCAAAACCTCAACCGTACACCAGGGGGGTATCTGAACCTGCCTTGAAAAGTGCCCTGCTGTCCCTGTATAGTCCTTACTGGAGTTTTCTGATCCCTTGTCTACTCCAGCCGTCCATTATTAACATCTCTGTCTTATCTTGAGAAACTTTTTTTCGCCCTTTTTCCTTTTAACGTGTTTTGCGGCAAAAGTGAATTGTAACACATAGGCCCTCTGCAGGTAATAGGGGCCTGCAGCCACCTTCAAAAGGTGATTCATTTTAAAGGCACTTACCACCTATTTATCTATTTTCTTTAGGTTTTGCTATATGACGGAGGAAACGTCTCAACCATAAATAGCATTGAGAAGTTTTTAGAATGTGTGCAGAAGACCACAAAGCTGACTCCGTCAAGGTAAAATATTAGGAGGACATGCCATTTGATTATAAGTATGTACAGTTTGAATCGTTGAAGTGTGCATTGTTGTATCAAAATGAATGGAATATCCAGGCCGCTCACAATGTACAATATTGAATTGTGCAAGAGAATTACCTGCATGCTCCCGAGGTAAGAATTGCTGCAAAAATATAAGTTATTTAAAAGCTTCTGGCGTGTGTTGGAACTTATGACAATATTTCCGTGGGAATCGGATGAAAACGTTAAAATTATATCCAAGGATTACGATTATCAGAGAAAACAGTGGATTGGGAAGAAGAAATGAGTTTTGGAAGAAGAAAGGGTGGTACTCTACCTGTATAACACATTGAATTGGGGCAATATGAATCCATTGACACAACACAAACGTTTATTTTGAAAATAGTGATTGGGTAAGGGATGTGTATGGTTTGGATGTGGTAACTGGTAAGTATGGATTGCCAAGAAAATTTAAAAGACTTGGGTCCGGAGTTTTACCATGTCAGGGAGCTTACCCAACTTCCCCAATTTTGCACGATGGGAATGGAGTCGGCTTGGGATTCACATGTATACACCTTCCAGATCCGGCTGGTCTTGTAACTCAATAGCATCGTCCACTCCTGAGTGATTTTAGTGAAGTAAGTGCCTGAAACCAAAAGTGAATATCATTGACCAATTAAGAGAAGTCTGAACCTTTATGGATTTGTGTAGATAGCCAAGGTACCCCTTTGGATCTGGTCCCGGGACTGTTTTTACGGTGATAAGTGTCCTTTGGTAGAGGTAAAGTACGCTTTGAGAGAGAGCAGGGGGTCATGGGAATCGGTAAAAGTAGACAGGCTTGTGTGTAAACAGTGCATAATTTCATTGGGGTCGTCACTCTGTCAAAGGAGCTGGTCAAGACTGTCAGGCATTCAAACTCCAAGGCAAATAAGTTTTTTAAATGGATTGTTTTCTAGTTCTGTCCGCATACATTAGCATGAGGATTTTCATTTTTGGATGAGTGTGACATGACTGATTTCACAAGGATCACAGAGATTGCCTTCTATTTCACAGTTTTATCGATAGCTACAAGTGATTGTGGACTCTTTTCATATGGGACTCTAAATTCCTATGCCTATTGCACTTGAATTAAATGTTTGTCCTTCTAAAACTTTACTGAGGTGAGGGAACTTAAATGTAATAAATGTGTTGCTATGAATTTGGTTTTTTTAATCAATGTAATGAAGTTTGCAATACAGTCGAGCTCATTTAATAGAACTATATTTCTTCTTATTTGTACATGGGTCCTGAGATGGTTACTGAACGAGTTGGCAGATGAAAGGCAAAGGATGGTGTTGGAGGCATGGGACAGCATCATTTTACATAAGGGCTAAAAAGAGGCAAGGTATGGGTCGCAGGGCATGCGTTGGCATGATGGTGAGGGGGCATATTGATTGGTACAGGGAATTTTTTTTATTCAGTTACGGGACGGGGGCGTTGCTGGCTGGCCAGCAATTATTGCCCTCTCCTTGCTGTCCTTGAACTGAGTGGCTTGCTAGGCCATTTCAGAGGGCATTTGAGAGTCAACCACTTGCTGTGGGTCTGGAGTCACACGTAGGCCAGACCAGGTGAGGATGGCAGATTTTCTTCGCTGAAGGACGTGAGTGAGCCAGATAGGTTCTTCCTGACAATCATGGTCATTGGTAGATTCTTAATTCCAATTTGTTTTTTAATGAATAAGTTCAAGTTCCACCATCTACCGTGTCAGGATTCGAACTCTGGTCCCCGGAACATCAGCTGAGTTTCAGGATTTATTGTCTAGCAATAATACCACAAGGCCTTCACCTCTCCATGGAGGGTCTGAAGACCGTAGGTGTTTTCTACCGGGCATACGCTGGCATTGAGGAAGTGGATGCCATGGCAGTGTGTGTAAGCAATGTTAGCTGGCATGGAGTGTCATGGAGAGTGAGTGGCGAAGGCAGGAGGGATGCTTCATGCCATAATCTTTTTATTTTTAAACTTTGAACGTGGTGTTGGAAGTTCTGAGGCGTCCTGCCTCAGCAAGAGGCATCTACTTCACGTCTTCACAGGTCATCTGCCCCGAGTTTTAATCTTGCACGCATCCCCGCCCCCACCCCCCCAACCTGCGCACTGAAAATGGGCAGCCCATATACGTTACTAGAGCTGACAGAATTCTCCTGCCTCTGCGCACTTGACCCAGGAATGAAAGTCTTAGGCACAGATGCGGAGGTTTCCTTGCTCGTTAAGTTGTCTGGAGGTCGGGAGGAAACGTTGACATCTGTTTGTGCTTTGCTCCTCGCATTGGGTTGGGGAGGGTGGTTCTGTGTTTACACACGTTTCTTTTTATGAGGCTTTCCTCCAGTTGTTTTTGCTTTGCTGCTGCTGTTGAACTTGTAGTGAAGCAAGTACAATAGAATGGAAACTCCCTTGGCAATCCTCTGACTCAGAAATGACAAAAAAAAAGAGGGTAAAAAGAAACTGCTTTGAGACAGTGTGTGTTTGTGATGATCACTCTTTATTGCAGCAACCATCGCTGTCTGTGACAAATACTCTGACCCTTTTGCCTTTAACAAGCGCATACTGTATTTCATTTCAGTCCACATAGGTTCACTGTAATCATACATCTGTCGACCTGCAGTGGCATAATGTCTCCAGCTTCTCTTCCTCTTAAAAACCCTGTACTTTTATTGTCTCACTCCAGCTTTATTGCATTCACTGAGCCTACCATGGCAACTGCTATAATGAGCAGTTCTCGCTAGATAAAAATGTTTGAAAGCAAATGAAGGAATAAAAAAAAAATCATTAAAATGTGATTGCATAGTATTCAGTAAACAAATATTTATTTACCTCAGGGTAAGTGGAAGAGCTTATTACTATTGCCTTACTTTGAACTAAAATTGCATTTGGCTATGTGATTTGTCATGTCGGTTTGAGTTCGGACTGTGTTTTCAATTTCAGCAGTGAGCCTGTGATTTGCCCAAAAACTGCTAATCCTTCTAAGCTTTTATTTAGTTTCAGGAAAGTGTACACAAGGGCATCTTGGTGTCTCAGTGGTTAGCGCTGCTGCCTCACAGCGCTAGGGACCCAGATTCGATTCCACCCTCAGGCGGCTGTCTGTGTTGTGTTTGCTCATTCTCCCCACGTTTGTGTGGGTTTCCTCCGGGTGCTTCAATTTCCTCCCCCTAGGCAGGTTAGGTGGATTGACCATAGTGTTTAGGTGGAATAGCCATTGCGGGATGCAGGGTTGCAAGGATTGGGGTGGGTCGGTGTGGACCTAATGGGCCAAATGGCTTCCACACTGCAAGGATTCCATGAAAAAATGCACTCAAGGCATTGCAAGGGAAGCCTGTTGACTGACTGATGAGGGATCAGAAATAGTTGTGAATTCAGACAGATGGATTCTCGTTGTTGAAAAGGTAGAGGGTGGGGATTTGGCGTCTCTCTACCCCCTGGCGCTGTGAGATGAGGTGGCATTTACTTGGACAGGAGGTTACTGTGTGTGCAAACCCTCCTTGTTAAAGTGAGGAAAGGTAGTCTTGCAGACAGCCTTCATGTCCGTTCACCAATTGATGCCTTTAAGCGGTTCACTTAAAGCCTAATCCCACCCACTAACCGCCAGCATTCAATGGGTAAGCAACATGGTGACTAAGAAGAGAAAGGCATTCCACACGTACAGGCCCTTAGCGCCTGATTTGAGGGACCTGGCATCCAGATGGATGTGCCCGCTGGGAACTACCTACTGCCTTTTGCATGTAGCCTCCTGTCACACCGAGTCACACAGTAATCTGCTCCCTGTAAATCCCATCCCACCCACCTGTCCCTTTCTTGAGATTTAGTGATTTTGCCTTAGGGCCTTACTGAAGTAGCCACCGCTCTCAGTGACAGGTAATGGAGAGCCTACACCCCCCCAAGGGGGATTTCTGCCCTTCTGTGGTGGTGCAGCAAGGAAATTACTCCTCCGGGAAGTCAAAGCAACAACAGTAGGGGGCACTCCCCCACCCCCTGCCCCAATTAGGTACTTAATTCCCTCCAGGATCCCAGAGATTGGGATGGTGGGTATACTCCCAGTTTTGCGTCATCAGGTCTCCACCAGCTGACTTAATTTCTGCTCATTGTGTTCAATTTGTAACGTCGTTTTAAGAAGCTGTTCTGTTGTATGAAATAATGTTTTGTTTCTCTGCGTTTCAAACAAGCAGGTGCTCGCCAAAGAGACGGCTTCGTTCCAAGAGGCGACTGAAAGTACCGAGGCAGCAGTGTGCGCACAGAAAGTATTGAAAATTGCACGTGGCTTACTGATCGCTATGCAACTGTACACATTATCTGAAAATTGATTATTTTTGCAATTTTTTTCTCACAATTTCTCTTGGTCTTGCTTGCTTCGTACTGGCACAGATTGAATCATGATTCCCTACGTTGTGGAAACAGGCCATTCAGGTCATCGAGTCCACACCGACCCTCCGAAGAGCATCCCAAGCTGACCCAGCCCCCTCCCCTAACCCTGGGACCCCGCATTTCCTATGCAGAATCCACTTAACCAGCACAACCCTGAACCCTATGGACAATTTAGCCTGGCCAATCCACCTAACCTGCACGTCTTTGGACTGTGGGAGGGAACTGGAGCACCCAGAGGAAATCCATGCAGAGATTGCGAAAATGTGCAAACTTTGTTTCCTTTTACTGGCTATAACAATTTTGTTTTTATATGAAAGAAGTGGGTGTTTTCCGAGTATGATCCCAATTAAGTCATAAGGCAGCAAGTTTTGTGAGTTTAAAATGAAGAATTCTGACACACTTACCCTGAACATATGTAAGATCACCCACTTGATTGCACAAATATATGTACACTAGGATTGATCAATTCTCCCCTCTTCCATGAAGCAAGTGTGGTGTATTGAGTGAAAGTTGACATGAAGATATTGTACAGCACTGGGTTCCCAGCATGCTCTGCGGTTCATTGTCATCAGTTTTCCAGGAGATTGGTCCTCAGGTGAACCTGAAGGTGAAACAGGTTGGGGCAGTCCCTTTGTCTCATGGGATCTCCTGCTTTCAAGACGTTTCTTTATGGCTTACGGCTAATTCGTGGTTTGGCTCCCTGAGAGTTGAACTGCCTTTGGGTGATTTTTAAAGTTATCAACAAATGGTACCTTCGTCACATGACTTCTCACAAGTTCCGGAAGTTCCTCTTACAGGTAAGGAGATGTGTTGTGTTGGTGCCAACATCCTGTGTTGTGGTTTACACTTTTAGTGTTTGAGACACTCAGTTTCTGAGCTTTTGAAAGACCCATTCAGTCTATTGTTAGCACCCCACTGAGGAAAGGACATGGATCAGTAACAGTGTGGGATATTCCTATTTTTTCCCTTTTGAGACAGGGGAGTGTTATCACTCTACAGTGACACTTGAACGACCATCTTTTAAGCATTTTGTATAATTCTAAAATATAAACTTATTGTACATATTGGCACATGTACAGGAAGAAATTAATTATGATTTTAACAATATAAATATTGTAGATACTATTCTTTTCTATCACTTTTAGTTTGTATATTTTGTGCGTTAACAATTTGGACTCTCCCTGTAAGAAAACGTTGTATTGTGTCATAGTGATCTCTTAAACACAAACCTTACATTTACTATACTCAATGCTGACTTGTCAATATAATTCAAACAAGTGTGAAATGTTACTTCCACAGTCAGATCTATCCCACCAAGTACCAGATACTAATGTCACATAAGTGATGTGAGGTTTTTTTAACAATATTGTGTTGCGTTTATAATGCTGTCAATATTTTACATACACTGTTAAAATGTTTATTAAATAATAATAATAGCTATGGTGCACTTTTTTCTATCTTGGCAATGTTTTCCTCTTCCTGTATCACTCCTGAAGACATCAGATGTTTGCTAAGTGTGTTTTCACAGCCTCCTGAACCTTACACCTATGGCCATTTCATAGATGTGAGTCTAGTTTGCGAGTACTAACAGGTTATTTATCACCAGATGGAATCTCAGCAGGATTTATTCCTGTACCCACACTTTCGTTCATACCAGCATGTTTCAGCAGGGGCACTATATAACACTTGGGAATGAGAGTTTGTGACAATTTGCACCTTTCTAACTCCAGATTGGTAGGGTCCGTTTAAGTCCCATTTGCTTTGCCCCAGCTGAGATCCGCTAACTCAGTGCAGACTGAGAAGAATCTCTGTGATCTTCCAGGTCCACACAGTCTATTTGTGGGGCTTAATACAATGAATCACAAGAGGAGCCTGAACATTAAACTCAAAGATGGTTTGGTTGATACTCTTAAGAAATTCAGATATAGTCAGTGTTGAAGTGTTTAATTTAAACTAATTGCTTTTGCCAAGATATTCGACAAGCTGCCATCACTTGAGCCAGGAAATTAGGAAGGAAGTATGTGTGTCAGTTGAAATCATCGTTGTCTTACAACCTGCTGAACAGTGATGTATCGATTTCTGTTTGACACCTCTTCATCAGTCATTTTCAGCTGTGGTGCCATCGTTTGAACATTGTGGACTCTATTGACTTACCTTGTGGCAACTGTTATCCTTTCTCGTAGGAACTTTTTTTATTCTCCATATGAGTCGGAAGTTATGTTGATATCCGTGTTGTATTTTAGCCAGTAAACAATTTCCCAGGTATGAAGTAGGAATGGTTATGAGATAGATAATAGGAATTTCAGTTACAGACATGATCTAATCCTGTTTGACTGCAAGCTTCTTTCTTTTAATCATTTCTAAATGCCTACTAACCTTTAGCGTTTATTTATAATTCCAATGCTACAATTTCCATTGTTCAGACTGAGCACTGCACAGACTACAAACCAAAATCTGTAGGAGCGGGACATACACCATTACACCATCCTGTCTCCAGCTCCATACCTTGCTAAAAATCCAGGCTGAGAACAGTGGAGTGAGGGTGATGGGACATACACAACTTGAATAGACAGTAGCACCGACAATCTATCTCATTCACTAAAGTGATTTAAGGATTAACAAATAAGTAGGAAAGGCGATAAAAGGGTGGCTCAGCATCATATGAGATCGGATTGAGGGATGCTAGAAAGATTTTTTTTAAATTTAAATTTAAAAGGACAGTTCATTACCAGAAGGGGTAATGGCCTAATGGTATTATTGCTTAAACTCTTAAACTAGAGACCCAGGTAATGTTCTGGATATCTGGGTTCGAATCCTACCAGGCAAATGGTGGAATTTGAATTCAATTAAAGAAAAAAATCTGGTATTAAGAGTCTAATGATGACTCTGAGACCATTGCCAATTGTTGGGGGGAAAAACCCATCAAGTTCACTCATGTCCCTTTTAGATATGACTCCAGACTCAGAGCAATGTGGTTGACTCTAAACTGCCCCCTGGGATAGACAGTAAATGCTGGCCTAGCCAGCAATGCCCTCATCCTGTGAATGAATTACGAAACAGACTCCATGGTTTAATCACCTGAGCCAGGCAGTTTTATTAACACTCATTACCCATTATCAAGTTGTTAAAAGGCTTGACTTTCTGTGGCTAGTTCAACAGGCAATTAATGTAAAAATCCAGGAATTTCTTAAAAACAGCCTGGTAGGTTAGGGTGAGGTATGAGCTGAAGCAAACCAAGATGCATATAAATCAAACAGCAAGTTCTGGAGAGCAAAGTTTTTTTTTTAAATTCACTGAACTTGTTGATCAATCTTCCAATGATAATGGTGACTCTTGGTCTGATGCAGTTATTGTGATGACCTTTGACCCAAAAGAAGTAAGCTAAGGAAAGTTTATAAAGTCTTTAAAATGTGGGGAGTGATGTGAATACTTGTACAAGGTGTAACTTTGTTGCATCAACTGTACAAATTGAAATGAACCTTTTTAATTGAAGTATCTACCATCTATTAATTCATGTTTAATTGCACGTTAATTTTGATTTGTTTTAAAGTGAAAGCCAAAAATTTGGAATTTTATTGATTTCTCTTTTGGGGTCATTCGGTAAATTTAGTTAATTTGGCCTACACTACCTTGCACTAGAGGAACTGTGACACTTTTTCAATTTGTCCAAACTGTTGATAGTACTACACAATCATACTAATTATGAGTGGTGGCTTTGACAATGCAATATCTGAACAAGGCCACTACAGTCAAGAATGGCTCAATCAGTCTTCCTCATCAGTGGAATCAGGTTTTGTCAACTGAAGGATGGAGTTCTTTACCCTCAGCTCCAGATAACGTATGCAAACTAATAGGTATCTGGTCATGTTGTTCTGGGTAAGCAGCAAAAAGTCTTTTCAATGAACTGCAAAACTACAACTAGCTGCTAAACTGTAGTGCACCAATGGATGCAATATCCACAAGCACCTGCTCCTCCCACCCCTGACAGTCCGCTGCTAATACTGACAATCTACAAAATGCACTGACGCAATTCACCAAGGCTCCTTAGACAGCACTATCCATAATCATGACCAGTACCATCTAGAAGGAAAGGGGCAGCAGATATATAGAAACACTAGCCTCTCCAAGCCATTCACCCTACTGACTTGGAAATAGATCGCTGTTCCTTCAGTGGAACTGGGTTAAAATCTTGGAACTCTCTCACACCATTGTGGGTCAACCTACAACGCACAGACTGCAGTGGTTTAAGGTGGGCAGCTCACTGCCACCTTCTCAAGGGCAACTAGGGATGGTCCCAGCCAATGGTGCCCACATCCCATGAATGAATACTAAAAACTCTCAGACTTTCGAAACCTTAAATATATCAAACGGCATCTGAGCTGCCTACAGGAGATTCTAAGTGACAGAGGTCCTCAGATATGGAAGGGATGGCTCCTTGTGCAGTCCCGCCCCTGAGGAAATGTCCTGGGTTGTGTGGAGAAGTACATAAGGTGGTTAAGACCTCAGTGAAGGACACCTTTATGTTGGCACCAGTATTTTACTGATGGGGTAACAGCTACCCCCTGCCAAGTGTGGAAGCCTTCATGTCCATTAATGAAACATCCTGGTGGTAAACTGGGAGGTCAGCAGAGCTGGAGGCTTCAAACTGAGGGCAGGAAAGGCCTCAACTGGCCTCGGCTGAAATACTTGTAGGTGGTTACGGAAATTCAGCCTATTCAACAGGTGTGTCATGTTGAACAGCCAGCAAAGTGGTTATATATCTTCAGCATACTTTGGGCAGGAGTGACCTCCATAACTTTCACCTGTTGATAGAGAAATGACTGGGATCTGGACAACTTCTGATTCCATCTTGGTGAAGACATCCATATTGCCAGGGTTGGCTTTGGCATAGGGGTCATTATGTGGAGCTGAGGCACACTGCCACCACCGTGAGGCATCTCTCAATGATTATGTGTTTGCATCACCTACCTTTAGAGAAACATGGCAGTGCAGGAGTTACCTGCCCATGCCATTGCTGGCCCCTGTGCCCATCCTGCTGCTGTATTTTCCAAGACAACAACAAGCCCAGTCAGAGCTCCCATTTGCACTTTCAATTTGCCTTTCACTGAGATCCTGCTTTCGAGGCGGTGGCCAATGCTGCGAATTGGGTGTCAAAGTCACTTTCAGACTAGTTAGAACCTTTCCCATTAAAACATAGCGCTGTATCGCAGATGCTGATGTGGTACAGGGGTGAGATGTGAAAACGATCCAAATTCCCCTAAGTGGCCCATCGACTTATAAAACAGGAAGACCAGTGGAGAATCCTCTTGTGATTTCACCTTTGACATCCAGGTTTGCCAAAATAGATGCAGTTATTATGATCTTGTGATCTTGATGGAACTCAAACTATTAACCAGCATCTTCCCCATTCCTTCACTTACTTTACATGGACTCTGCACCCCAAGTAGCTTAAATGTTTTGCAGGTGTTTTATGCTTTATATATATTCATATCACACCAGTAACTTGTAATACAAATGTTAGCATTGGTAAGATTGTCATTAGTAAGCCCTATGATGGAAAAATACACTTTCAAGATATATAAATGGGCAACAAAATGACTTTGAACCTTTTCTCTTTTATCACACTGCATCAAGTTGTGCACTTGCATTAGTATTGGAAACACATGTCACCGATATGAGTAATTCTCCCTCCTGAAATTAAATATCTTATTTAGAAGTTGATAGTGTGTGCTTTAACATTCAGCAGCATGTGTGTAGCTTGAAGCATCTGTTCCTTGTTGATGGATAAAAAGGCCAATTACTGCCGACATTTATGTAGATGCTATTCGCAGTGAAATGCAGCTGTGCACGTAGTGACTATAATCTGTTCCTCTATATTCTTCCATTTTTATGCAATTTCTTCTTATGGTTTACAAAGAGACATTTTATCCTGTTTTTTTTTTCCAAGGCATATTGAGTTCAAGCATTTTGTTTAGCTTGTTTGTGTTTCATTTTAGAGAACGACGAGATTTGGAAGAAAGCAAATGTTTTAAAAATGTAATTTATGGCAATTTAAATTCAAACTTGATAGGTTGAATCAAATCTAAACAATATTAGAAAAGGAATATTATCACAGTCTTATGCTTTTAACAATCTTATAATACTGATCTAACATTGCAATGAATGTAAAATGAATGATTAGGTTGATCTTGTAACATTTTTAGGTAAGCTACTTTGGGTTCCCACTGATACAATGGCTTTTAAATTGTGCTTTTATTTGAAACTGAAAATCTTTCAACTTGTATACATTCTTCTGCTATAGAACCACATAAATCTAGCAGAGATGTGCGCATTTCCAAATAAGACAAACTCAGACTTGGCCATTTTCTATCTTGGACACTATTTGCAAATTCATTGCTGGAGAAACATGGAAGGTCTGCAGCAATTTCTGTTTTTGTTTCACA